CCTGTATGTGTATTAGAATCGAAGGTTTAAAGACCAAGATGGTGTCTTGCATTGTGAATGGGGTTCCCTTTCGTTGTGTAGGAATGGTTTGATCACGTTTTGGCAACTTGGTTTTGCTGTCAGGGCGAACAAGTCAGGGGTTCTATGCCATAAGTAGCCGTTACTATTTCCCATACATTTGGGCGTCGCAAATGGATCTTGCCACTTTGACCTTGTTTTCGCAACTTGGTTATGTTGGCATGAAGACCTAGAGGAATAAATCTTGTCCGGAGTCCATAGTATACATCAGTGATTCCCAAACTGTGCACCGCGGCGCCCCGGAGAGCTGCGGCCTCTTTACAGGGGCGCCGCGAAATATTATAAAAGCTTCAATTTGAGAAAATGTGCAGTGATTTGCAGGCTCATCCATCACATTAATTATTAAATATTAATTTAATGTCAATAAAGTAAAAAAGATAATGAAGATACACGAGTTTTATTTATTTTTATCTCTTACCTAGGAATAGTCATACTTAGGGTAGGGTGCCATGGAAAAATTTTAATTGAAAAAGGGCGCCGCTAATAGGAAAAGTTTGGGAACCACTGGTATACATGATAATTTCCAGAGTCGAACCGTGGACTTGGCACATTCCTAGACCTTTCGCCGGCATCGTCAGTGAGCTTTTCAACTCTTAGCACCACACCACAACTCGTCAAAGAGACAAGTGAATTCGATACTTTGACCAAATGTATGCTAAATAGTTGTGGTATCTCTCCTTCTGTCCTGGGCTATTCACCTATCCTATATCCTCGTATCACCCCTTCAATATCACATTTCTTACTTGTTTATCTAAACCTATTTGAAATATATTCACACTCCTTCTGGTTTCCTCATCCCTTTCACTGTGCCGGGAGTGTTGATCCGAGGCTGCATTTTAATACGCAATCCTTTTTCTTCGGATTCTATCAGAGTCTCCTCTTGCTCCGTGGGTTCCTTTCTTTATCTGTCTATTTCAGTGATTTCACGCCATTGCTGTCACCATATCCGTGATACTCGTGGTCAAGCCTTTACTTAATGGACCACGTCTATGAGCAAACTTATCTACTAATAGCCAACTAGAAATGACCACTATCGTTTCTCTTGCTCTTATATGACATTCTATTGCGTGCCAACCCCCATATGTGATGGTTCTACTTGATTTGAATAGGCTCACTGTAGACGTCTTTTCTTGGTTTCCCATTGATCCTCTCTGGTCTTCCTGGATGTTTGAGGCGGATCACCGAACTCCTCTATCACATATTCACAGGTAACCTTAGTCGTTTTTAAATGCACATTGCAAAAGGTAATAGGAAAGCTATTTTCTAAATATATTTATGAGGTCTCTTTAACGTTTATTCATATATCCTATGTATAAAATTTATTTTATTTATTTTATCTGTTTACTTTAATACTATATAAGTAGTTTAAGATATTATATGAAAATCATTAATTTTATTCACGCAAAACGATAATTTTATTCTACATCTCTATCACTAATTAGTTATATTTTTATTTACATTTTAATAAAAACTAGCCCGCTATTTCGTTCGTCTTATACTTTTACTTTGTTTACTGCAGACGTTCGAAGATCTTCTTTTCGACTTTGGGTTATTACATCGGGTCGTATTGCCTGTGCTTTGTTCACGACTTATTGAATGGCCCTTTAATTAGTATATTAATTTTAAATTTCTAAATGTACTTTTTCTGGTCCGTAAAAAGCAAATCTTGATTCTTAGATTATTATTATTATTATCATTATTGCTATTATTATTATTATTATTATATGGCGGGATTTTTTAAAGATCACTCGCTCATACAGAAATGACGCAAATTTGCGTATTTTTATTCAAAGAGATTTATTGAATTAAGTGCATGCTACTTTCCAATAATATCTTTTCTCCATACTTTGATTCATAGTACATAAGCCTAACTAAATGTAAAACTACCGAGAACATTCATCAGTAAACTTTAACGAATCTACTATGTCCTACTTCAAAACGATGTATGAATATATATCCCAATGTTTATTGTTAAAAAAATATTTGGTAATCGGGGCGTATATAAATATTTCATTAAACTTCGCTAGAGTGCATATAAGCCTTGATGCTTTTTATAATAATATTTGGACTGCCATTTGAGATTGACTGCCATATTTCGTTCTATCTAAATACAGCTATAGTGACTGATAACAAATGTGACATTTTTATTCAGTTTTCCTCGGCTTTGAAGAATCTCATCCATAACTCAGGAAACCTTGTTTATTTTCATAACTGAATAGGTTTTAGAGATTACCAGTAAATCAGATCTGTGAATTGTGCTCACTCTATTTCGTTTAAGGTGATGAAGGACTGGTATTAGATTTTTTCCACAATGATATGAGTAGATCTGACGACACGTGGCATAGGTGTTAACGTGTCGAGCTTACTAGCTGCACTCTCATGGTTCGACTCCAGCTTGGGGTGTTGACAAGACCTATGTGAGGTCGAAACCGCAGTCTATTCTGGATGGGAACACCTGGGAAGCAAGGCTATTTGAAATTCAATGTAAAACATCAGCTTTACTCATATCATTGTAGGAAAATCAACTACAAGTCCTTTGTAACCTTAAAAGAAATAGTGTGAACACAACTCATAGTCTTGTTCATTATTTTTGCATACTTTTGCTTTTAATTGCTCTTAGATTCTTATTCAGTTCCTTTTTTAATTTGCCATTTGTCAATTCTACTTAATTATAGGTGAACTAATGCCTCTGCGCGCTTTCGGTGATATTCGATATAAATGGTCAGTGGACCACTTAAAGCATGTAGCTCGCTTGCTTGATCTTCCTCCAAATTACCCTGTCCATCCAGCCTTCTACACAACCCCACCCTATTTGGTAGCCACACCACAAATACTTTATCGACAACTACAGCCCGGCCGTGATGCTTGCTTAATTTTGGCTACTGATGGCCTCTGGGATATGGTGTCACCTCGTGAGGCTGTGACTGTAGTAGCGCGACACTGGCATGATTATCACGGCGTAAGTGTCTCACTAATTTTGACTTTTACGTTTCACGATATTTGTGCAAACTTATGTATACATATTCCTTTCTTCCTTAAATACTATAAAAATCACCTTTAACTTTTATTTAACATATTAGTCGTTAGCACTTAGTAGTGGATAACTTTTATTATCTTAA